CTCACGGTCTTACAATCTGTCGATACCTATTGTGACGGGTACAGATTTGTTGTTAATTGTATTTAACTATAACTATGTCTTCCTATTCTAAAAAGTTATATTTGTATGCCATTAAGTCCTAAATTTCACTGAGATAAAGATGGAATCAGTGCATGCCTGTTCATGATTATTTTTATGATTTTTATTCAACATCATATGACTGAAATAAAGGCAACAGTAGTATACTTCTATTCGAAATTCATAAATCGATTGAGAAAAAAACAAATCCGGGTTACAAACTTAAACTGAGGGAAACACATGAAATGTAAGAGGAGAACAACGACACAACAGAAACTCAACACTAAAATGCAACACACACAGAAACGAATTATAATATAACAATGGCCATTTTCCTGACTTGGTACAGGACATTATAAGAAAAAATGATGGATTGAACCTGGTTTTGTGGCTAGCCAAACCTCCCGCTTTTATGGCAATGTTAAATATAACATTAAAATGACAAGATTACATGACAGGACTACAATACAAATCAATGGGAGAACATACAGGACAGAGACACACAAAAATAATAGCTATCAAAAGGTACCAGACTTATAATTTAATACGCCAGACGCACGTTTTGTCTGCATAAGACCCATCAGTGACGCTCAGATCAAAAAAGTTCGAAAGCCAAAACAAGTAAAAAGTTGAAGAGCATTGAGGACCAAAAGTTTCAAAAACTTGTGCCAAATACGGCTAAGGTTATATGCCTGGGAAAAGAAATTCCTTAGTATTTAGAATAATTCATACTTTTACAAACAGTAAAATAAAAATGACTACATAATAGATATACATGTTAACACCGATGTGTTGACTAACTACAGAATAAAAACGAATACATAAAACAACCTAAATCAGCACATAAAAAAGGCACAGCCGAACAACGTATTATATCTTAACCGAAGAAATCGACGCACAATGTGACGTCACATTTGAATTTCTATAAATTTCCAAAAAATGGGATAGAGTTCAAGATTAGGTTTGTAATACTGATATAACATGTATTAATAACAATGAAAATAACAATACTTATTATTATAAAATTGTGGTAGTAATTAGATGATTAATTGTATTATCAAGCTATGTCGGTATTTCTTCTAAATCAAACTGTAAACCAAATACATCGTATAAATTTAGTTGACCCAAACTAAAATCTTATAAATGAACTGGGTGATTAATTATCATAATACCATAATACCAGTCATTTTTATTATGTTGTAGCATTTACTTTTGGAAATATTGAAATTGCAACTGTTATTTGCTGTTATGAGACGACCCCCGTAATTATTACTTTCATTGAACGAGTGATGTTTTTCACTCGTATGTACATTTTTTACGAACTTACTTATTTGTAAAGCTTTCTCAAGTCATATTGGTATAGGGAGTTACAAGTTTTAGGTCAGAACATTTTGTTCGACTACATATTTGTCGATGAATTCGTTGACTGGCAAGCACCTTCCTTAGTTCAGCGCCATATTCATAACGGTACTAAAGTGTTTTGGTTGGTCGAACATTTACGGAACGTCACGATTATTTTTAGCTTATCGTAAATAATTTTGATAATTATATTCTACATAACGGAACGAACATTTCAACAAATATGAAGTTATTTGAGCGTCATTTTGTACAATTATTTTATAAAAATAAACATTTCATAGCGGCCAAAGAGGGACAAATCGTTAATGATTTCCATTGGTTTATTGGAATAACTTGCAATTGCGCGGTTGAAAATTGCACGAAAACTGCCAAAAAACTGCACAAATTTTAAGTAACAATTATTAAAACCCCAAAACGCGAGTTTGACGTCATTCTGCCAAAGACGTTCAAAACTAGGAACATTTAAAGAATACATAATTGTTTAAAAACGATTTACGCAAATTCTACCCACATTTTGAAGACACTTGAGGAAACTAGCAATATTATGGAAATACAATTTTTGATAATGATGGTTTACGTCTATCTAGAAAAGCATAAACCATAGAGATTACGTTACAAATATTTTTCCTGTTTAGAAATTGAGTACATTGTTAATACTTTTTGACGAATCACTGTGCCGAGGCCGATTATTTGTTTTCATGTAATTGAACAATTTAAAGCCAATTTAACCCCAATAATCAAACTAAATTTAGAAATGTATTTTATTTATGTTACTGGTAAAGGAATCTAGTAAATTTTAAAGCAAAGGTTTTTTTCAAAAATTGAGCGTTTTAAGTGGGGTTTTCAGACAGTGAGACACATGAAAATGCACATTACTAGCGAAGGAAACTAGTACAAATGTCCATAGATTCTTGTTAAAAAAACCACAACTTTATTAGTCAATCAATTGGAATTAGAGCAACATATACAAGTAATTGTTAGTCAAAGATATAATACTTGTTAGTAAGATAATAAACCTTTGATAGTTTAGAAAAAGGAACATTTGTTAGTAAACAATAATGAACAGATAATTAATTGTCAATATATTTTGGTCACAGTTTGAGACAATCGTTTTTAGTCAAAGGAAGCTTAAACACAGGTTCAAAAAAGGATTGTATATAGAATTTTACTTGATATTATTATCTTTACTGAATTTCACATTTTATTGTATAGGTCAAGTTTGGAAAATGATGAGACATACGTTTTTAGTCAGAGGAAACTAATACAAAGTCTCTACTTAAACTTATATCAAAGTTTTCACTGAATCATTGAACTACCAGTTAACGAAATATTGTAATAATCAAGTTTGGACAATTTTAGACACTAGTTTTTAGCCAGTGGAAGCTATTACACTGTCTTAACAAAATTTTCCCCTTCATTTCATAGAACATCATAATTTATTAAATTAAGTCACACTATACTTAGTGTGAGGTAAGAGGCATTTTAATACATGAATATCTAATATTTTGTCCCGTGAGGTCCGATGTACTTTTGATCAATGAGTATCTAATATTTTGTCCCATATCTGCTCGTATTCTCAACAAACGAGAGAACATCATAGCAGATATTGTTTTACTCTTTATGAGTATTTATGTAGTACTTGAATCAATCTCTTAAAAGATACCCTAGGCAACTGTCTAGAAATTCACCAAAAGTGTACTTAGTATTGATAAATTTGCAAGTTCTTTTTATTGGTCTTGAGCTTGACTACATTGTGTAATTTTGATCTCAAATATTTGCTACTGTTATGTGTGGTTATAATATATATAATATCAAAATAAAGTATTTGCAACTTCTGAATTGTTTGGTATATATCTGTGATATCAGTCTCAAGAAGACCCTTAACATTCACTATAAATAATTGAATAGGAGTTTAGGCTTGATCCTAAGACACATAGGAATCACTTCTCGAAAAAGAGGTCTGTTGTCTTTCGTTTAAGATCTAGATACGGAGTTAGGTAGTTTAGGTTTTCGTTTGGGTTTATATATTTAGAGGTTTCGGTGTATTTGTGTTTCTGCCCTTTTCTCCATTGACATTCTACACTATATTTAGGCATTGCACGAGGTCGTGTTTTTCTTTTACTGTAAATGACGTCTTAAAACCATATACATTAGCAGTTGGATGTTAACTGATTGATATTTTAGTATTAGAAACATAATTTTTCATTAGTTGATATGGGCTTGGAACTAGTTTCAGTGACTTTAAGTATTTGCAGGTTTGTATTTTGTATTTTGTGTTTTTGTTTTTTTTTTGTTTTTTGTTCTTTGCATCGATCTGATGACTTTAAGTCCTTTTCAACTGATTTTTATAGTTTGTTGTTATTTCGTGTTGTTACACCACTGTTCCCGGTTAGAGGAACGGTTTGGAGCCAATAGACATGTGTTTAACCCCGCAACATACTGTTTGTCCCTGTCCCAAGCCAGGACCCTGTAATTCATTGGTTGTCGTTTGTTGCCATATATCATATTTGTTTTTCTTGCATTGTTTTGTACATACATGAGGCAATTAGTTTTGTCGTTTAAATTTTTATACCTTTGACATTTCAGGGCCGATTATAGCTTATTATGCGGTATTGGTTTTTATCATTGTTGAAGGCCGTACGGAGACTCGGAGTTGTTAACTCCTACAGATGGGTGCAGTCCTAACCTTTTCAAAAGATAACTTAGAGCAGTCCTTATGACTTGAGTTAACTTTAGAAAATTTTAGCAGACCTTCAATTTAACGTTATCCTTACCACAACAGACCTACGTCTACATTTTTGGGACTGCTGCAGACCAGAGCAGACCTGCGGACAGTTCAGTTTGACCAGACCCGTGGACAGGACAACATGACCAGATCAGATCTGTTAACCTATCCTGTGGACAAGTCTGCTATTTGACAGACCAGTTATGGGTCAGGTCTGCTTTTTGATCGGTCCTATGGATATATTTCTTTTACTAAATTTGTTGATACATGAGTGTGATGATACTTTAATGATATTCATCAATCAAAGCAGTCCTGTTTACTAGTTAACTTTATATCATGTTAACTTTATCTTGGAGCAGACCAGACCAAAGTTAACTTTTATAAGAACAGGTCTGGTTCGACAGAGCAGTCCAGATCAAGTCTTCTTTTTAAGTTAACATGAATTCTGTCCTAGAACCGATCGGAGCAGTCATAAATCCTGTAACCGCTAAATGTCTGTTTTTTCCTGTCCCAAGTTAACTTCCACCAGTCATAAAGTCTGGTCATCAAGTTAACTAGATGATCAGGTAAGGACTTTACCCATCTGTATGTCCTTTGGTCTGTCGCGGAAAAATTGGTTCTTTGACAATCATACCACATCTGCTCATTGATATTGTTTATACATTAAACTATTCAACGATGCAAAGATCAATATTTAGCTTATAATCTACAGACGTATTTTTTTTTATAAAAAAATTCAACAGTAAAGTTATAGGATTTTCTGTTTTTTGTTTAACTGACAGTTTTTCAATAGAAACGAAATTCAGTACAAACATACAACCAGAAAGAAGCTAGTTTAAAAAAATATCTAAATGTTTACCTGTATGGCCTATCACTTGAACTTCTGCTAAACTGAGATAACCTTTACCGCTTCTCAAAAGTTTCACATGGCGGCCTGAGATTGGGCTCTTGCATGTTAACATTATTACTTGTCCAGTCTTACCAGGTCCTTTGAAATTACTACAAAGTTTCATCTGATGACGATTTTGTCCAACTGTAACCGCTATATTCTTCAGCCGATTACCTGAAAAGTTATCAATATCAAGAGTCTATATCAATTGTTCAAAAATGGAATTCTAAGACTTCAATCTGTCTGTGCCAATCATCATATCACCGATTGTATTCAATATAGCTAGTACACTCCTTGTAATGAAACACATTTCAGTATCGAACACATTTTACTTCAAAACCAATTTTTTTTTTAATTTTTCCCAAAGTGTATTTGTCTCATTGGTCATCACCAGAAAGATTAATTCCAGATTCTAAAAAGCTGTATTCAATTACCAGGTTATGATTTAGTTGATTTTTCCTTTTCTTTATTTAAAAAATAAATAAGATTCTTGATTGTACAGGTACATTATTCATTATGAAGGCTGAAAACAAAGCAGACAATTTTACAATTTAAAAAAAAATAAAAGTCTTTATCAAGAAGAACAATCCCATTAGAATAAAGTCTTTTGCTCTATTTAACAAAAGCAATAGTGCGGTTAATGTCTGTTTTTGACCAAAAGAAATAAAACTTTTCATGACTTCTTTAAAGCGGAAGGGCAACGAAAGGGCTAAACTTACCTTTAAATTAGACTGTGATATCAAATCTTAATCTTTTCCCCCGTTTAATTCCCATTTAAGGTCTATTTCCTGTTGAAAAACACTGACCACACACGTCCACAAAAAATGAATTGGTCATAAAAATATGGAAATTGACAAGACACACATCCTAACAGATAATTACGGTGGTTCATGCAAAATCTGCAAACATTTTCCAAAATTTAGTCAAAACTATGAGTTTCATCGTACGATTGCTCATTTGTGTCGTCATGTATGACATCATTGTTGTTGTTAAATATCAGAACTTGTAAAATTTCAATTCATGAGAGATTTTACATTTTTTTCTCTCATCAAATTTATAATTGAATTGCGGAAATGAATAACATGGAATTTAAGAACCAAATATGCCTCTCCCTTAGCAGAAGGGAGTACTTTCACAAATGAAAAATACGATTTTTTTGCAGTTCTCTATCCATGTTTCTTTTTATGAAACAACTGAAAAGTCAAGAACTTTCAGAGAAGCCTTATTATGACTGTTCATTGGTTGATTTAAAGTTGGTTATTTAACATCCGGTGAAGAATATTTCAGGCGTATTTAGGACGCGTACAAATAACATTTTAGAGAAATGTTAGTGAGCTAGCTCTAATACCCCTCTCCTCCATATTAAATATCATTTAAGACAGTAATATCGGGTTATGGAAATCAATTCTTTGCAAGAATGACCTTCATTGTCGATCAAATGACCTGAAAATCAACATTTATCGTCCTCCTCATTCATTTAAAATATATGACCCCATATCTAAGAAAGGTTGTTATTCCATATAGGTGTCAAGACCACCAATACATTCACTTCAATTTGAAACTTATGTAAAAGTAGCCCTTCCCTGACAAAAAATAGTGCGTATAATGTCATTGTTTACTTAAACTAATCAACAAATTTGCAGAAATGAAACATTTAGTGAAAGAAAAATATATGTAGACCATTTTGAGAAAAAGATTACTTGTCCATGAGTTTGCATTAAAAATTGAGGATTTATGCGCTCCATAGTATACACACATCTTCTTATTTATATCTAAGATTTCCAGAAAATCAGGAGTTATTTTTAGTAGTACTTGACTTCCAAACAGTAGTATTTCATTACAAGACTTTAAACATTGGTTAAACATTGGCATGTAGAAAGTTGATACATGTTCAAATCAGGATATACCTGCTTTCTATGAAGTTAAATTTAAGGTAACATATTTAGAAAGCTGTGAAAATTGCAAAATTTTGTTGAATAGATAGGGATTTTAAATTGGTGATCTGACACATATATTAGCCCATGAAATAGCTTTTCAAATTTTAGTCTTTTTTTAGTTTCTTTGTTCTTGACATTAGACAGAGTGACATTAAAAACAAAATAGATCGTACTCTCATTAAATGTGACTATTTTTCCTAGCAAAGTTATAACAAGGGCTCAGTTAGGAGATTGTTTTTCCAAGACAGTATTGTATTTAATTATTAATATCCTGACAAAATCTGTGTGCATCTTATCACTTTATAGCATTTGACTTCTTTCGACAGTCAACGTTTCTGTAAATTGTTTTAATTTGTTTAAAGGTGTCTTTTTCGATGAATCAACACTTCATTATTATATGATATAATGTAAAGATTTTTTCTGAAGATCATAAAAAGTACTAAAAATCAATTTAGATGATTGTTGATGATTTACCTATTATCATATAAAAGGAAAGAACCTTAGTGAGGGCGCTCACATACCCCACGTCCCCACATTGTCATTGAAGAAAAAAAAATTGTATCAGAAAAAAATATTGAATCATAATTTCCTGTCAATATGCACATCTACATAGTGTCTGTATGTCCTTATTATCTACACAGTTTCATGAAATTCTGTTGTGTGGTTTGAGAGGAGTTGTGATGACAAAAGGATGCAGTAGTTTATTGGGCAAATAAGTTCAAAGGTGCGTAACTCCTGGAAAAAAAATTGAATCGTAATTTCTTGTCGATATGCACATCTACGTAGTATGTCCTTATTATCTGAAAAGGTTTCATTAAATTCTGTTGTGTGGTTTGAGAGGATTTGCGATGACAAAAGGTTGCAGTAGTATATTGGGCAAAAAAGTTCAAAGGGGCGTTACTCCTGGAAAAAAATTGAATCGTAATTTCCTGTCGATATGCACATCTACGTAGTATGTCCTTATTATATGAAAAGGTTTCATGAAATTCTGTTGTGTGGTTTGAGAGGAATTGCGATGACAAACTGTTGCAGTAGTACATTAAAGTAAATAATTTCAAAGGGGCGTAACTCCTAGAAAAAGAATTGAATCGTAATTTCCTGTCGATATGCACAACTACATAGTATGTCCTTATTATCTAAAAAGGTTTCGTGAAATTCTGTTGTGTGGTTTGAGAGGAGTTGCGATGACAAGAAACAGGACTGACGGACTGACGGGCGGACGGACGGACGGACAGGTCAAAAACATTATACCCTCCGCAACTCGTTGCGTGGGGTATAAAAATGTCTAAAATAGTGTTCCTTTTAAAATGTTCAAAAGTAAACACTCTTATCTAACTCACGTGAAATTATTTTGTATCTTATCACAAATATATTTTTCTGACTCCTTACCACAGCAATTATTTCTGTTTATAATATTGATCTGTTTCACGTTGATTGTTTTTCCCAAATCAACACTCCAATATGCATTTTTTTCATTCTTTGTGTGTGTAAACGTGTTTTCCTTTCCATCAACTGCTTTTGAAGCAGCATATTTTGAATGCCATGTTGAACTCTGTGCTGCTTTTTTTCCAAGGGCATAGTTATATCCTGTGGAAAATTGATAACATTTACAAATTAACATATGGATATAAATCTACCAGTATATACAATATTCGAGAGTTTGCATTTCCCATCATAATTTCCTTGAAAGAAGGTTGTTGCTAACAAGGTAGCTATAAAATCAAGAGTTCCAATTGTTGAAGTTGAAATCGTCCCTTCGTAAAATTTAGGGACGCCATCAAGAGTTTGTTTTTTGTTTTTGTTTTTGTTTTCTTTTTGTTTTGTTTCACAGATGACGATGGATATGTTTCAATTGTCTTAACCATTAACCCATCTTGTTTTCACAGAATGAAACCTACCAAATAAGACTTAAGACTGGGTTTGTACTTACATGAGCAACACGTTGGGTGTAGGAAATGCCTACCCTTCGAGCAAGAAGGAATGGAAGCCTGTAACATATTTTAATTACTTGTTTTTAAAAGTTCACATTTTGTGGACGTCGCAGGGCAACTTTTTAGTAGATTTTACCTTTCTAGTGGATACTTCAACTGTTGATATTAACTGTGATCAATTTGTGTATATTTAAATATATTTAGCTATGTTGAAAAACGTGCATAATGTCAAATCATACAAATACAAATTGTTAAGTTTCTAAATAAAACTTTTAATTTAGGACTTTGACGTTATATTCCTCAATTGCATGACGATTTTTTCATTATTTGTTAAACATTCATGTAATGATATTGACATTTGTGTCATTGTTACTATTGATGTGTATAACCCAGTAATAGAAAACATGGAAAAGCATATTGTTACAAGAAAAATTAGAAATCTTTGATTGGTCAAAAGACATTATACCTTGAGGTCACTGAAATGAAAACATGAATTAAGAATATGTTATTTATCGTCTAACACTAGACGCAATATTTCAAAATTAACATATTCCAAGAATTTGAAAAATCTTTTAACGTTATAGGTTAAATTGTTTTCCTTTTTCTTTTGATAAGGTGTTATACTGACGAGAAGCGTTGATTTGAATCTTACGCACGCTTACTAACGAATATATACTTGGATGGAATTATATCTAATTATGTCGTGATCATTTTATTTCTCAACACATGCGAATGTATTTTTCATTCTACTTTAAGTATAGCAGTTCTGCCTATGTTATCAATATAAAACCTGCATATACAGTGTATACCAAACTTTGTCCGACAGACAAAATGTCAGACAAAAAGTCATTCGGTCAGACAGAAATTTTCAGATTTTTTTAGTTGAAAATATAGACGAAAAGGTCAAATTTCTTTTTCGGTCAGACAAACTCTAAAACAGTTTGGCATAGACTGCTTATAAGGAAACTGTTGACCATAGTAGTTGTATTAGTAAAATGGAAAAAAAAGTATAAACAAGAAGCATAAAAGCACAATATACATTACCATGTATTAGCATCTAAGGAACGTCAAAACGTCAGTCTTCACGATAAACTTTTAGATATACAGGCCCGGAAGTAAGTTTTTGGAAAAATTTAGTTAGATTCTGTTGGCCTGTAGATATGATTTTTACAGGCCCTAGAGCAATTTTACAAGCCTGGGCTGCTGGGCATGTGGTTCAGTGTGAAGACTGAAACGTTGGATTGCATTTGAAGTTAATCTCAGTAAATCAAGATATGATCGGACAGGTGAGACAGACAACGTGATTTCTTAATGTCCTTATTTCGTTGATGGACGTATCAAAACTCATTTCTACAAGAGCGTTACCATAATTCTTGTAACAAAATAAATGAATTTTACTGTAAGAAATTTAGAAATTTGGTACAGGCATTTTTTTCTTAATCGATATTCTCTTCATTTTTGTTAATTCTGTCTTCATATTTATTTCTTCTTGATCACATTAATTTTTGTAAATGCATGTACAATATCGTCGTTTTCAATACAAAATGGCAGAAGTGAAATATACGAATCTATGATAGAAACTAGCAATTTACCTTTTGGCTTTGCAGATAATACCTTTTTTGGGAGGGATATGTCAACGAGTACTTTCTCGGAAGACTGAGCACTCGAGTACAATTTAAGTACTCTTTTCCCTTTAAAAATCTTGAGACATTTCCCCCAATTTGGTTCCCTTTGAAATATCCCTTCCGTAATACTGATTAATATCTATTAAAAACGTATATACAGTTTACCTCAAATCGAACGTCTTACATTTGAATTCAGTACTCTTTTTTAAAATTTCAAAATTAAAAAAAAATCATTTACACATGGTTGGTATAAAATTACTTTTTGAATAACTCATTTAATAATAGTTATAATAAAGTTTACATAGTACATACTTGTTGATAAATTTATGATCATTGTTGAATGTACTCGTTTTTTGGCAATCAAATTATGAGTATAATAGCGATACATAAAATGCTGAATCTCTACATGAACATCCCATCTCCTTTTATGTAAAGTTAATAAACCAGTTAATATTTCCAAATTTTACTTTTACTGATTCAGTGTTTCAGAGTTGCGTTGGATTGTTATTATTAATATTTGTTTAAGTAATTCATACTTATGGAAATTTCAAATGACACGGATAAGTGGAACAATGACACAATGCTCCATTAATGTTTTATCCCATTACATACATTTTGTCACTAACTGATCAGACTTGTGACCAAACCAAAATATACGTTTTAAAACGACATTTATCTTGCTACATTAAAAATTTTGAGAGTATTTCCTTGTCTGTACATGGATGTCGATAGTCTTTTATTCAAATTCTTGCTTCGAAATACTGGAAACAACTGGTTTCAAGTTTGCAATTTTAGAATGTTAATTTTTTTTATGTATATTGGAGTTATCCCCCTTCGTTAACTGTAGAGCGGAAAATGTGAAAAGTATGCCGAAGGTAAACGACATGCAATTTTTTCAACCTTTTTCGTCTGAAAGACATAAGTGGAAATTCATTAATCATTTGATTGAAATGAGTATTCTGTTTCATGACAATAACCAATTTGCTTGAGGCTTATTGAAAGTACACAAGGGGAATGCGTAGTTAATGGTTAGTGATCGACAACAGACGACGGAGCCCAGTGAAGCCAACAAATCACATTTGCCCTTTGGACCAGATAGGCTTAAACCAGATAGGCTGCTCTTCATAGTTCTGCTTTTACCGATGTTTTTTGTTGAGGAAAATTTTGCACTATCTTTTTCTGTGCATGTTTTGTATAGTATTTTTTCTCTGTTCGTCTATTCTTTTTGGCCTTGGTGTTTTCCGTCTTTCATCAAATTTTGGCTGTTTATGTCTATTTTTTTTTAAATATTACAGATTTGTTGTTCCAGAGTTATGGGACTTAAGTGGTCGAAATTAGAAGACGATCTTCTTAAGAAGCTACTCATTTTCTATAAACACTAATATATCCAAATGCTTGACGAGACGGTGTGCCATAGAATATTGATTCCTTTCAGATGTATGAATTTACTTCCGATTTTTGTTTGAGTTCGTGTCGCACAATCATTATTTTCTGTATAATGTTTAAGGACTGTTGTTTCTCTGTTCGTCTTTTATTTGTTTGGCTTTGATGTTTTCTGTGCATTATAAATTGATGGCTTTTGATTGTCCTTTGCTAATCTTTTAAATATTACAGACTTGTTTATCTAGACCGACTTATCTGGGACTAAAGTGGTCGAAATAAAGTTCAAGGCAACAGTAGTTTACCGATGTTTACCGATGTTCAAATCTTATATTACAATCAAGAAAATACTAATCAAGGTAAAGAAAAAACAAAGAAAAAACAAATTGAGGGACTTGCATGGACTCCAAAGCGAGCGAGACGGCGTGTGCCAACAGGTTTAAAGTTTCTTACTAGGCATGCATCACCCGAATCAACACACAGTAAAAATATCAAATTCGGGAATAAAACACACATGGTAAATTGACATATCAGACGGCTATTCTGGTATTATCTAAGTTCGAAAAAAACGTGGCTTTTGAGTTGACACACAAACAGATCATATCGGTCTAGCAATTTGTGATATTGACTTTAAAACTTATGTAATATTGACTTCAGACGTTCCTTCTCGCTTTGTGTGTAACTAACGCATGATAAATAATAACATTGCTAATAAAAATATCTTTAATGTGTTTTCTCATTGTTGAAGGCCATACGGTTGCCTATAATTGCTTACATCCACTGCATTTGAACTTGGGTGGATAGTTGTCTCATTGGCAATCATACCACATCTCCTTATTTTTATATTAACATTGACCAGCTGCAGAAACTTCACCAAGTTCAGTGTATTGTAATGCTTTTGTCATTTATATTGTTTGTCAATTTTGAAGAGGGATTACCAGTTATTTAATTGAACTAAAATGTATTTCTTGATTACTGCTTGTATAACGTGCAATGTCAAACATTGTATATGTATATCAGGGACGGAACTTGCTTGAATTAAGATTAAAAGGTTAATTTTTGTGGTAAACTGAATTTTGATATGCATCTGTTCAACTGTGTAATATTGTGTGTTCGTCTAAATGTACAAATCAAGGTAGTATGGGGTATGTCACCATCATGAATGGTAAATTAGCAAGAAACGAGCTTCTAGATTTTTAATGAAAACAGGAATGCAATTCAATTGACAGAAAATTGTTCACTTTTCTCCTATAATACCGATTGTTTTCACAAACACAGATTATTGCTTGATAGATAAAAAAAAATTAAACTTAGCATGATAAGGGGAAACACAAGGAACGATACATTTTATGAAGGAAAATACATTTAACTGTATATTTTGTATCAAAGCACAGAAAAAGGATGAGACTTTTTTTACATTTTCTAAAAGTATGTTCGAAGAGCTATCTTCTCGTATATTATCATAAAGTTTTGTCATTTAGATATTCTTTCTTTTCGCATAATAATGCCTTTTTCCTCCTCTACATTCCTTACAAGATGTGTCAATTTTTCACAACTTGTAGCTTTTAAACAAACTTAGTGACCTATAACTTTTATGATATTTCTGAAAATAGCACGATATAAACTGCCTTTTGAAAAAGTATGAAATTTGTTTGGCATTTTTGTTTATACCTTCATACTACCTTAATCATGGTAAGACAAGATTCACAATTACACATTAAACTGATTTGGTTTTTTTTTAATTCTTAATATTTGCTGCATTTTGATAAATAGTGAAAAGGTTGTATCATAGCTTAAATGTTTTTTTATCTTAAATTCATTTCTAACGTTCTTACTATCTTCTCGTATATCGTTATAAAGTTCTGACATTTATATATTCTTTCTTTTCGCATAAAAATGCTTTTTTACTCCATATTCCTTACAAAATGTGTCAATTTTTCACAACTTGTAGCTCTAAAACAAACATACTGATTTATAACTTTTATGACATTTTTGAAAATAGCACGATATTAACTGCCTTTTGAAAAAGTATGAAATTTGTTTGGCATTTTTGTTTATATCTTCATACTACCTTAATCATGATAAGACAAGATGTATCAGTTACACATTAAACTGATTTTTTGTTTTTTTTAATTCTTAATATTTGCTGCATTTTGATAAAACATGGAAAGGTTGTTTCATAGCTTAAATGTTTTTATTTTAAAATCATTTCTTACGTTTTTTTTTAGAGTGTTCAAGCTAGTCCTTTGTATGACTAGTTAGGGTTGTCAACAATAAAGTTTCTAATGCAGGCGGTCTTTTATTTCGACTTATCAATATCTTCATCTGTGATAATGATCTAAAGATATGTCTTTTTTACTTTCAGAAAATAAGAGCAAATTATTTCCATTAGAAGAATTATTTATTTGTAATTTTCCCAACTTTCGGTCAAATCGTCTCGATCAATGCACTTAATTCGTGCTATCTTCTCGATTTATTCGGATCATATATATCTCTGTCCATGCAACTTTCCGTTGAATTTGACTCAGTGACTTAAGTACCAGTCCATATTAGAATCATGCAAAATGGGATTCATGGGTGGAAAGCCTACAAATAAAAATTTTAATATCTTATTTAGGATATAAAATTAGAATGAAATTCATATATACTTTTTTATATGGACATTGCCAGGTGAGGTATAAATTCTAAAGAATCCATTTTCAAACTCACGTTTAAGGAGATAACTCCAATCAAATCCTATAAAATATATATTGTAAAATGTATTGTTGTTATTAGGCCCGGTAAGGCGGTTAACGGATAATATTACTCATTCTTTTCAGCTACATATACACTCATATAACAACTGGTTGACAAAAAAAACATTTTGAGCCATAAATGAAGTGTATCACAAATTTTGAGTTTGCATGATTCTCATCTGGACTACCACTTAATTTCTAAAGTTTAAATTTTAACCATTACCAATTAATACTATTTGTATTTTACTTTAACTTCTAGATCTGCGTGATAAAGTTCTAAACACGGGCAACAAATCAGTGCATCATAACGACTCGTTATCAAGCAATGTTGGTGTTCTAATGATTGCCATTTAGCAGGCTGGAAGATCCTTTAGCCATCCATAGCGTGATATTTTCTTATGGTTTCAAAAGAAGCGAAATATCAATCCACCCTAGAATATGTGGATGTTGTATTGGTTATGGACCTTTTATTGAGAACAAAAGGTAGTAACAGATATTCAGATAAAAGCTACAAATTTCAATGTTGTTTTCCTTCTTGTTTGTACATCTGATTTTAGTTTGAATATTTTAAAATACTTTAGAATCTTATTTTGAGTGATTATCACTGTGAAGTATCGGAACTTAAGGTGATACAAAGGTATAAACGAAAAATTTGATTGATAATCTAAATCTATTGTGCTCTGCTATTTCACAATCAAAGATGGCGGAAGACTACCATACCACCTTTAGTACGATAAGTTACAACAATATGTTGTACAATTCGTTCAGTATATCTCATAACTTGTCTATGTACTGAAAAAAGAACCCATTTAGTATTTCACCTAAAAACAAAAACAAATTTATCAATACGACTCGTTATGAAATGAAAGAAACATAAATGTTATTCTTTTCAATGGCCGATACATTAAAAATTACTTATAATTTTAATTAAGGAATTCGGTATTAATTTAAGCAATATTAATATTTTATGGGAACATAATCCTTTTTTCGACAGAAAAAATCATACTCCTTTGCTGACTTTAAATATCACTGGTGCGGTCATTTACTGACAATTTACTGAATATTTTTATCAAATGGTAAGATAATATGAAAAAAAGGTGTTTTAACACAAATCATAGAGGGCTTTAGTTAGAAATGGCACAACTGTATTGGAATTTTTGGGTTTTCAATACTGTTCAACCTCGTCATTGATTTAGTTTTTCAACAGAAAAAATCATACTCCTTTGCTGACTTTAAATATCACTGGTGCGGTCATTTACTGACAATTTACTGAATATTTTTATCAAATGGTAAGATAATATGAAAAAAAGGTGTTTTAACACAAATCATAGAGGGCTTTAGTTAGAAATGGCACAACTGTATTGGAATTTTGGGGTTTTCAATACTGTTCAACCTCGTCATTGATTTAGTTTTTCAAACTATTTTTATTCGAACGCAACTGATTAGACTTATGCAGACAAAATGTGCGATACACAGGAAGGAAGCACACACACCTAGAACAGCTAGTTTTGTCAGATTTCACTTTTAAAGTGCACATTTGGGTTCAACTGCACCTTCAACCAATGAAACATAACAATAAATGGGCTTTAATATATTTAGGGAACATGCATTAATTTTGAAATACATATCGATTATTTGACCTCTTAAAGTCTGGAGAGCAATTGAGGACAAACAAATCGTATTTTGGGTAAAGGTCTAGAACGTCCAAGAAAAGTGTAAACCCTCGTGAGTATAACTTATGACTATGTGTATTATTTAAATACACTTCGGAAACAACTTCATACGGTTGCAGGTCCAAATGAAGCAAATAAAATTGGGGGAAATCGGAAAAATCCATAGCAATCATTAGTTTTGGAAACCAGTGTTTTATCCTTTGTTTTCATGCGTACAACGTTTAATCAATGCACTGTTGCTGTTCTTGTTATTGTTCATTCATAGACAAGTATTGGTAAGTATACATATAGAACCTTGACGATTGTATGTTGCACCGTTTCTTCTGTGTATTTCGAATTACTCTTTGCAAAAAAAAGTAGAAACAAGTTCTAGCAAAATAAAATACTCATTTTTATGGATATGGAAGAAATAATGACATCAATAACACAGTCTCTAAAAAGTAAACATCGATAATTATATTTACCTTTAGGCATCATTTTCGTAGTTTTCTTCACTGAAATGTAATTGAAAAGCATTAGAATCAATATTATTAATGCTAAATGTCTGTAAGTTCAACACGTATTGTCGAAAATTGTATTGCTACGTCTAGATCGATGTTTGTTGGTAAGTTTTAAGTCAAAATCTACACGGCCATCACTACCTTGGCAACTACTGCGTATGGTCATTAGTATTAGTCACTTCCGATTTTAAGCAATATATTTCATACAAAACTAGTTTTCAAATATTTTGTATGGACATTTCTGGTTGGATTATATTCAACCTGGAACCCAAAAAGAGAATTGTCTTATGCTTTCTATATGTTTTCTTTATTAAAATATTGTAATCAAACCTTTTTTCTACAGATCATTTAAACACAAATCTTAAACTTTGTCAGGAAATTTTCTATATACTTCATCTAAAATAAAATCGTTAACAGCTGTAAGCGTATTTACATCATGAGAAAACAAAAACATTTGACGTCAAAATAACTACAAAACAAAAAATGATTGTAAAGGATGCTGTTACGAAGTCTCCCAAACGAAGCTCCCATAATTCCCAGGGTCGCCTGACATTGGACAAAGTCCAGTGAAAATTGGTTTGGTCCAGTAAGGTTATTTGCATAAGTGATGCCTGGGGACTAACCCTGTATATCATTCAAATCATCTTATCATGACAAACCAGAATATATATGGATTAGCGGTGGGGATCTCGACCATTTACAAGATACTAGAACATTGGGGGTGGGGGGAACCCCTGGGGACTGACCCTATACGTCATTCAAATGTTCGAGACATGACGAACAGGAATATATATGGTTTAGGGGTGGGGATCTCGACCATTTACAAGATATTAGAACATTAGGGGTGGGGGGAACCCCTAGGGCCTGACCGTATACGATATTCAAATGTCCGAGACATGATGAACAGGAATATATATGGTTTAGGGGTGGGGATCTCGACCATTTACAAGATATTAGAACTTTCTCAAATGACAGGGGGTCGGGATGACCCCTGGGGACTTTCCCTGTATATCATTCAAACCATCTTAGCATGACAAACCAGAATATATATGGTTTAGGGGTGGGGATCTTGACCACTTACAAGATATTAGAACTTTCTTAAATGGCATGGGGTGGGGTGACCCCTGGGGACTAACCCTGTATTTCATTTGATGTGCTGTATCATGACAAACCAGAATATATATGGTTTAGGTGTGGGGATCTTGACCACATACAAGATATTAGAACTTTCTCAAATGGCAGGGGGTCGGGATGACCCCTGGGGACTAACCCTGTATATCATTCAAACCATCTTAGCATGACAAACCAGAATATATATGGTTTAGGGGTGGGGATCTTGACCACTTACAAGATATTAGAACTTTCTTAAATGACAGTGGGTGGGGATGACCCTGGGGACTAACCCTGTATTTCATTTGATGTGCTTTATCATGACAAACCAGAATATATATGGTTTAGGGGTGGGGATCTTGACCACTTACAAGATATTAGAACTTTCTCAAATGGCAGGGGGTCGGGATGACCCCTTGGGACTAACCCTGTATATCATTCAATCATCTTAGCATGACAAACCAGAATATATATGGTTTAGGGGTGGGGATCTCGACCATTTACAAGATATTAGAACTTTCTTAAATGACAGGGGGTGGAATGACCCCTTGGGACTAACCCTGTATTTCATTTAATGTGTTTTATCATTTAGAACGTTTTCAATTAAAAAGATTGTGTCTATTACAAACGGTTTTTAATTTATAATTATTTGAAAAATTAAAAAAAATTAAATCCCATAGGGTTCTATAGTAAAACCCTTCTTTCTTTTTGCCCCTCAAAGTACCCCTTCGTAAAGCACATTGCACAAACAAAACCCTGATAGCACCACTAGACATGTAAGTCTTACATATTGTGAAACCCTAAGTTAATCTGACAATCGGCTTTGGAGAACGGGTGCGGACAAGTTCAAATTTAAAAGTGGCGGAAGAGGAAGAAGAAGAATAATAATAATAATAATAACTGAGCAAAACCAATAAGTCTTAATAAGACTTAATAAACAAATATAATTCAGACATCCATAGCCTTGACAGTTTCTATCGACTTGTGAGTTTTGAATGTCTAAATGGTATCTTCCGCCTGTTTTTTATACATGGTTTCTAAAAATCCAAACACAAACAGCTTCAACATAATTTTTTAGAAGAAATTGTTTTATATGAAATAAATTGGATCAAATTGAAGGTAACGAGTACTTATGTCCATGCGCTGTAGTTCGTTTTGATATTCTGAAAAAGCAAAGCTCATGTGAAGTGTTCATATTCTTTACTCGGCTTTGTCTTAACTTGTCGTCCTGTTTGGTTTTATCAGCTCTTTAATTTTTGAATAAGTTTTTAATTTTCAAATATTTTGGCCTAAAACATTAATGGAGAAACAATCATTGTCGAAATGCGTATCTGGTGCAGTAAAATTGGTGCCGTTAATGTTATTGAAACATGCTGTTCATCTGTATTTCTAGTTCATCATTGCAAAACGATTAAACGAATACAATATCCATATTTTCATTGAGGGCATACCATACAGTAGCAAAGAAAGATAATAACGCATCCAATTAGCAATGTGTTTTACAGCGTTGCTAATGATAATCATCCAAATTTCGCAGAAAAAATCACTAACGTGATCAAATCGGTTACGCGAATTTGAAAGTGTTTGCAAAGGAACACGAATTTGTTGTATAGTTAAGTACGTGAAATCTACGGCAGGGCATAAACATCGAAGTAAATGAACTTTCTATCAAAGAAAATACTTGTATGTGCCAATAATTCAGAAAGCGGTTTAATTTGCGGCAGGAAAAGCTGCACGGAGATGTTGCATTAAGAATACTCTGCGACGTAATTAAGAGCCAAAAGAATGGAATTAGTTTATCCAGCATTAAAACAACTTGGTTTACTATTTGTAAAAAAATAAATGAGCAAATTTTTTTTGAAATCGGATTTGTACTTCTTCATTAATGTTATATCGAAATTGCAAAGAAAAAATCTTTTAACGGAATTTTTTCTATAAACGTTTCAATTGGCAAAAAAAAAATGTTAACGTTTTTTTTTTTTTAAACTTGTATGATTTCACACAATTTTTTATCGCACTTAGTCCTCATCTTATGGACTTCCTGACAGGCATATCAATTGAGGAACATTAAAAATAAAACGGTAAAAAAAAATCTCTTTTCCTTTCAATGTTGTTATTTTTTCGTAAACCTATTGAAAAATGAAATGTTGTGTTTTTACTAGAAACAAGCAAATTTCACACTGCAACATCAACATCGAATTAGACTATTTACCGGATTTGAAATAACATAAGCAACACGACGGGTGCCACATGTGGAGCAGGATCTGCTTACCCTTCCGGAGCACCTGAGATCACCCCCAGTTTTTGGTGGGGTTCGTGTTGCTTAGTCTTTAGTTTTCTATGTTGTGTCATCTGTACTATTATTTGTCTGTTTGTCTTTTTATTTTTGGCCATGACGTTGTCAGTTTGTTTTCGATCTATGAGTTTGACTGTCCCTCTGGTATCTTTCGTCCCTCTTTTTCTAAAAAAAAACATGCAAATATATTTACATTTTGGCATCAATGTCTTTTCTACTGGAATATAAAACGTCACACATCAGAATATATTTTCATAAATGATCAGGTAATAAAAGTGAAGGAAATCGACTAATTTCACGGCAATTATGTCGAGCTACTGCAGGAGCAATGCTAATTTTAGCCCTTACCGCTTTTTGGCTCCAATGGTTCTCCACACTTTTAGAGGTCTTTTGTATGATAGTTATTTAAAGTTTGTAAATCGAGAAAAAATCCATTTCTGCAGGGGTGGATTTCCCTTCTGTGTCTGGCCAACGCAGTACAAAGGTCTTGAATTCCCCCCAAAAAAAAGAAAAGTAAACCCGTTGGAATATAACTACTGATCTTGTTTATTATTTAAATATTAGTGAGGTAAAACAACAGCGAAATTGGAAAAATACAAAGCAATCACTTGTTTTGGATTAGAGTGTTTCATCATATGTTTTCATACGTACAAAATTTAATCAACGTATTGATGCTGTCCTATTTATTGTACATCCATAGAAGAATTAAATGTATTTTTGAGAGAAACAACTCGTGACGTTACAAAATGGCGAAAACGAAAACAATCGCTGTCGTGTGTTTTATTTCGAGTTAAAACATTTAGAAAGTGGTTGAACTTGTACAAAAGTAATGTATGTACGTTTATTATGGAGTTGTGAGAGGGATAATTGTGAAACAACCCGAAATCGAGACTTTAATTGTCGTCAGCAGGTGCACGGCTGTAGCTTTTTTATTTCTCCGCATTTGACAGTCAATCGTTCATTGACGAATGGATCAGAGTTTTTACTGTCATTAGAGACACTTTTGGGAGGCTGTGGTGTTACAGGTTTTATTTCTTTTCGTCGAAAAGCAACTTGGTCGTCTGAAGGTCGAGAAAAGTTAACTTTCCTTAAAAAAAAACCGGATATTGACAAAATTGACAACTGAGTCTAAAAATAGTTTGGTTAGTGAAAACACGTGATGTTGCATCTCAGTTTGTTATTATTTAACAGAAAAGGGGTTTTCAAAATTAGACAATATGCTTGAATTTTATTCATATTTTAATCGAGTATAAATAATATTCCATGATTTATCTTATCTAACAGAGGATTTTAAAAGTTTTTATTTCAGGTGAGCATACAAAAATTTAAGTTGTTTGGTAAAACAAATTCAGTTGGCAGTAAAATTTAAGTTAATTTGAATGAGGACAAGATGATTTGTTTTTATAGAACAAATTGTTTTTTTCATTCTCATTTTGTTGAGAGAAAAAATTGTTGAAGAGGGGAAGTGAAAAAATATATATTTGTTTTAGAAGGGAAGGGAAAAAACTACATTTGTTTCAGAAGGGAAGGGGGGAATTATTTGTATCAGAAGGGAAGTGATTTTTTTTCCAAAGGAGAAAATATACGG